AACAGCTAATCTACTGAAGCACATAATCTGCAATTGAAAGTGACCTCATCCAGTCTAACCCATACCTGAGTAAGAATCTTCTCTATCAAATCTCTGGCAAGTGGTTATCTGTTCTTTGCTTGAGGTCTTCCATTGAGCTAAAACCCTTGAGGAAGTGCATTCCACTTTTGGAAAGCTCTCATTGTGAGGAAGTTTCTCCTTCCATCGAGACTAAATTGTGTCTCTGCAACTTGTGCCTGCTATCACAGGCCTTTTTGGGTCAAGGAGAAAAAGTCATTTCCTACCAGTAGGACAACAAAATCCTAGGACAATGTCTGAGTACATCTGCTAAATGTGACTCTGAGATCTTCCTACGACTAAATTTCCAAACATAATTTAATATATTTTTAGAGGGTTGTCTGGCTATCTTCCTGTATCCTTACTGCCTCACTGAGACCTTTCCTTGGAGATTATTCTGTGACATTAATAAGGCTTGAAATTGCCTAGTCTTGGATACTTGCTTCTTCTTTGACAGAACATTCAATCAATCAGTAGCATTTATTTATCACCAACTATGTTTCAGGAACTGTTCTAGATACAGGAAAAGTACAAAGCCTGAAATAATTGCTCCTCACAAGAAGCCCACTGTCTAATAAGGGAGATAAGAAGTGTATATACACATTCACACACTTATGTATGTTTGTATATGAATGCGTACATTACATCACCTATATATTTGTGTGCAAGTACTAACACACATATATGTGTGTATACATGTGTGTATGTATGTGTGTATAACAACATTCATACAAAATCATTAAGTTCAAGGTAGATTGGGAAGGAAGAGTTGGGAGAATGAGGAAAGACCTCCAGTAGAAAGTGGGATTTGAATTTCTGATTCTTAAAAGAAGCCAAGGAAATAAGGGTGGAGGTAAATGAGAAGAACATTCCAAGCATGGGAGACAGCTAATGTAAAGGAACAGAGAGGAGAGAGGAGAGATGGGAAATGGAATATCTGCTCATAAGAGTAAGAAATCACTTCAGGATGGGATGATTAAAGAAGCTGAGACTTAAGCTAAGTCTTGAAAGATGGGTAGGAATCCAGTAAGTGGAAATAAAGTAAGGACTCTGGGCAAAGCAAACAGTATAAAAAGTAATAAATAGTGCTGCTCAAAGAACATTCAATGGACAATGAATAGTGAAGTCTGGTTGGAGTTGAGAATTTATGTCAGGAAGTAGATATAAGTTCTTTGAGGGCAGGTATTTTTTCGTTTGCATCTTTGTATTCTAAATGCCTAGGATGGTATCTAGCATGCCATCAAGTGTTTATTTAATATGTGAATCCTTGTTGGTTGCCTGGTTGAAGTAGGGGGAGTTAATTTTGTAAAACTTGGAAGAGATTGGTAAAACTTGAATACCACCCTGACATCATGAATTCCATTGTATGAATGATGAGAGACTTTTGAATATTTTGAGAAAGAAAATGGCATCATCAGTATCATGCATTAGATATAGCAATTTGCCTAAAATGTTCAGGATAGACTTGGAAGGAGAGATACTAGTGGCAAGAAGAGGAAATGTGAGATGTTGAAATAATTCTCTTAGTTACTAAAAATAATTATTGCCATTTTCTGCTTTGTTATAGCAGAGCTCCGTGCAGGGCAAATGGTCAGTTTGAAGAGGTTAGATTTATCTTTCTGGAAAGATAAAAATACAAAGCTGTGCTTTTTGAGGATCTAGGAATTTGCAGATGAATTGCAAATATTGTATAATTTCAGTAGAAAGGACCTCAGAAGTTATCCCATCTTACCAACACCAGACAAAGAATCATGCCCAGAGCATCCTCCAACATTGGTCATTCAGCCTTTTTCCTGGGACTTCTGGTGAAGGGAACTTGTCCTTTTCCAAAATGTTCCATTTCAGCTTTAGATTACTCTTTTTCTTAGGAAGTTTTCCCTGGAAAAGATCAAATTTCCTTCTGTAACATCCACCCATTACTCCTTCCTCCATCAACTGGAACCAAACAATGTAAGTCCAATCTCTCTTCCATAGGACAGTCCTTGAAATATGAGAAAATAACTATCATGGTACCTTAAATCCTTTTTAAGAAATAAAAAATCCCACAACCCTCCACTAGGTCTTTATGTGGTACAATCCTGCCGATGGTTTATCACACTCTTGTCTACTCCAAGCTCAAGCCCAATCTCTCCAGGTCCTCTCTATGTTCCCATGGAAAAATGAGCCCTGGGCTTTGGGGGCAGGGGTTGCTCCTTGAACAAATTATTCTCATATTATCATTTCAGTAAGTTCCTTTTTTCAAAAACAAAAAAAAAACTGTGTCTGACAGATCATGAATGATAGTATTGTTAGCCCTAGAATGATGAGAAGGATAGAAAAAAACTGTCACCCTCTATGGACTGACTTACCCTACCAATGGCATGTGGGAATTGGGAGGAGGGGAAGGATAGCTTCACAAAAGTGCTTCAGCAGGACTAAAATCCAGGGCTTCTGAACTCTGGTTCATTTTACTTTTGGAATAGCAAAATCACTTACCATCTGAAATATTACGTATAAAGTCCTTTCTTTAATGTCAGTGTCTGTTACGCATGCTTTCTGTATTAATATTAAACAGGTATGGTACTCATTTACAAATCACCTGTATCTCCTATCTGTAACAGGCCTTCTTCCTGTAAGGATCTCAGCTAAATAAAGGATGCTTTCAAAGTCTACTCTCACTGCAGCTACACAGAGGGAGTTGTAACATTTGTTCCAAACTCTTCTGGTATTTAAAACATCTTGAACATCAGAACTATCAAATATCTTCAGACAAAATAAGGAGATAACATAATATCCCATTTTTTGAGTCCATGTGTATAAAATACCATGATGCTTCCAAAGATTCACGGATATTTTGAGTTCCATAGAATCATGGATTTAAAACTCAAATAATCCTTACAGATCATCTATTTCAACTCTCTATTCTTTTAAAAATGAGGAAATGGAAGCCTAGAAAGATGCTTCACCAAGGTCATACTAATGAACAACAGAGTCAAGCTTTGAACTTAATTACTCTGCCTCTGAATCCCATGCCTATGCCTCTAAATCCCAATGGACTTTAGTAGAGGGATATGTAATAGCAAGCATTTATGTAGCACTTTAAGCCCTGCAGAGATTTTTTTTAACAAATATTAACGCATTTGATCTTCAAAACAACCTTGGGAAGCATATGCTATTCCTATCCCCATTTTGTATGTGAAGAAATTGAGACCGGTGGAGGTTAAGTGATTTACCCAAGATCACATGGGTAGTTAGAGTCTGAGATGGGATTTGAACTGAGGTTTTCCTGATTCTCCAGGTCCAGCACTTTATCCACTGTGCCATCCTAGCTGCCTGTGATACAACTTCCAAAATAAGAATGAACCAAAATTCTTTACCATTTTACAGTTTAATACATTTTAAAATGGGGACTTTAAAAGTGTTTTTTCTCTTCTTCCTCTTCTTCTCCTTCTTCTCCTCCTCTTCCTCCTGCTCCTTCTTCCTCTCTCTCTCTCTCTCTCTCTCTCTCTCTCTCTCTCTCTCTCTCTCTCTCTCTTTCTCTCTCTCTCTCAGAAATCAAGGTTAAGTGACTTGACCTGGGTTGTTCACATCAGCTAGTGAATGTCTGGGGCTGGATTTGAATTCAAATGCTCCTGACTCCAGGGGCAGAGCTCTGCACTCCCTAGTTGCTCCAAAAAGTGATTTTTCAAGATACTATATAACTTTGGATAATTCTAAATATTTATTAGCAAACATGTAGAATAGTAAAGTAAAAGGCATCTAGTTTATCTGTATTGAAAATTTACATTATAAAAGAAAATATGAAGATACCATATATTGGTCAATAATAGCTAAGCTACATAGTTTTCCTTTTATGAAACAAATACATTAGCATCCTATATCTCCTCAGTCTATGGACTGAAACGTGCATTCAATTGTCTTGTCTTTCTTTCTAGTTTTTAACTGTTAAAATAGTATTCCTTTATACACTTGTCATTACCTTAGTTTCCCATTGTTTGTCTCATTAACCATATAGTAAATTTAGTTGTTATTTGGATAGCTGCCTGGAGTTTGAATGACTTCTGATTCTCAATAGAATGCAAATGGTGCAGATCACAGTTTTCTTTATAAGCTATATGCTTATTCCCCTATCCTTTCTCTTGATCTTGGTGTGACATTCAGTGACATTGGTTTCCTTGCTGTTCCTTGTATTAAACACTCCACGTCCAAACCTCAGGCAGTTCTTTGGCACTTCTCTCCCTTCTCATCTCTACCTCCTGGCTTCCTTCATGTCCCAGATCAAATGCTACCTTCTACAAGAAGTCTTTCTCAATTCCTTTTTACTGTAGTGCCATCCCTCCATTGATTGTGGCACATAATGGATGCTTAATAGATATTTATTGAATTAAATTGTTTGTACGTAGTTGTTTGTATGTTGTCTCTCTCTTTAAACTGGGAGCTCCTTTATTCAGATCAGGGGCTGTCTTTAGTCCTTTTCCAATGCTTAGCACAGCCCCAGCGTAGAATGTGTACTTAATACCTGCTCTTTGGTTGGAGTATATTGCTTCTGATTTCCCTTCTATTCTAGGTGAAAGACCTCCCTGGACCTCAGTTGCCACATATGTAAAATGAAGACATTAGATTAAATGGACTCTATTGTACCTTACAGTTCTAGGCTGCTACTATAGCCCTATGGCATTGTTTTTGGTTTTGGTTTTGGTTTTGGTTTGTTTCCATTCTGTGAGTTATGGCTATCTGTGCTTTCCCAAACTCAACTGACCTGAAAGGTTGGGTGCTGTTTGAATATAAATATTCAAAGGACAAGTATCTGAAGCCTCACTTGGCCAAGTCTGATCTTCAGTCCCAAAGCAATACCTAGGTCCCTGAATTTTAATTGGGTTGTTGTTATTCTCTCTAGGGATCAACACCTGTTCCTTTTATCATTATTACCAAGCCAAATTGCTAAGTTTATTTTTATTTATTTTAGAGCCAGCTGGTTCAGCATATGCTTCCTGAATTCAGAAGATGCCCTCCCTGCCTTTCCTTACCAGTGGGTACGTACATTAAGATGTTACTCATATTTTCCACCATCCTTTTAAACTATGATGGGAAAGGGGGAAGATAAGATACTATGATTTGGCAATATTGGCCCTTCCCAACACCTTCATTCCCACCTTAGATTCTAATGTTCTCTTTAGCTTTCATTTTTTTTTAATGTTAGAAATTTCTTAAAGTTGTAATGAATTGATTTTTCATCTATATTTCTTGACAATGAAGGAGGTAAATGGTTGGTGAAGTGAATCATTGATCATAATGTTGCAGATTTAGAATTGAAAAGGAACTAACAGTTCATCAAATTCCACTACTTCATCTTGTATCTGGGAAACTCAAGGCCCAGAGTGATTAAGCTATTTTTTCTCAAGGTTATAGAAATAATAAACTTTAAGACCAAGGTTCAAACCCAGGGTCTCTGATTTTATGACTAGCACACTTCTGTCGATGCCATGTTGAATCTAACATTTCAATTCCCTCCCATGGTAATGTGATTTCCCTCTCTTTCCCACTTTATCCATGTGATATGTATCCATATTTTAATCTTCTGACATTTTTTTTCTTGATTTCATTTATTTGCCTATTTTATCTACAATTCCAAATCATCTTCCAGTTTCTTATAAGAAATATCTCCATTGATAAGGTCTCTGATTCATTAGAAAATTTAAATGTATACCCATGTCATCTATTCTTCTTTTAGTGTTTTTGTCTATGGCCTTTAAACAAATCTCTTTCATTGTGAGGAAAGGCAGTTTAGTGCCAAGGTAGTGGCCTTGAAGTCACAGGTCCTGAGTGTGAATCCTGACTGCTTTTGTGACCTTCGACTAACCACAGTCTCTTTGGACCTTAGTAAAATGAGAGATAGCTGGTCTATATGACCTTCTAAGCTTCCTTCCAGCTGTAAATCTATGATCCGATGAAATATTTTTGTGTGTCTTTATCTTTTCATTTTTGGTACATTCTTCTGACCATGAGAGACAATATGGTATAATAGATAGAAAGCAATGAAGTCCTGAAGAGATTTATCTCTGACACACATTAGCCATGTGACTAGGGGCTACAGTTTAACCTCAGGCATCTCCCTAACACTATTATTTGAGTTACTAAACAACACTGATGAGCTCGTTGGTGGATAGAATTTCCATACTGGGAAGAAACTACTACATTTCTGAAATCAAAGGTCTGAAGGCCAATCCCAACCAAAATGACCAGAAAACTATTCCCCCATTCTGCACATCAATTTATTTTCTCCTTGAATTTAAACATCCATTTTTACAGACATTACAGACTAAGCATTTGAAGTACTGTAAATAGTTAAGCTGGTCAGGGCATTACCATATTGAGATTAAGTTCCTTGTGTTCCTTTCCAACTGGGTCTGCTATGGATTTATGCTAGCAAATCTCAACTGGTCCCTTGCTATAGTGAGATAATCCTATAGTTGCTCCTGAATTGATTCACATACCACTTACTGCAGCCTCTCTTCCAAGCCTTTTCTTATCTCTTATTGTCCATAGCACCCTAGTCTCCCAACCTTTATTCTGAGAACATTACCTCCTACTTTTTCTCCATCCCAAAATGTGATGTTCACCCAGCATTTACTCCTCTTCCCTCACCTCCTTATTGCATCTAACACCTCTTCACCCATACAGACACCAACTTGGTTCAAGTTTTCATCACCTCGTACCTTCACTGTTGAAATAGCCTTCTAACTGGTGTCCCTTCTCATGGCTGTCCTCACTACCATACACTCTTCAGTCAACTGACAAAGTGAATTTTCAAAAGAGTACATCTGACAGTGTGAACACATTTCCCTTCAATAAACTCCAGTGGCTCCATACTACTTCTGAAATCATATTAAATTTCATTGTTTAACATTTAAAATTCTTCATGAATTGGACCCTATTTTTCTTATATTCTACTACTATATACTATTTGCTATTCTTTCCACATACCACTCTGTCTACCACCTCCATGTCTTTGAACTGGCTGTTTCCCATGGTTAAAATGTTTTTCCTTCTAGTTTACAATGCTTAGCCTCCCTCACTTACTTCATACTCAGCTCAAGCACCGCCTCCTCCAGGAAGTATTTCCTAATCCTCCACATCCTCAGATGCTAGCAGCATCCCCTCTAAATAACCTTTGATCCATTCTGTATTTATATTGGATGTATGTACTGATTTATATACGTTGTCTCCCTCAGTAGAGTGTAAGCTTCTTACAGGTAGGGATTATTTTGCTTTTTTGTTGTATCCCCAATGCTCAATACTTAATAAACACTTCTTGATTGATTGATTGTGTCTGTCAGTCAGCTGTTTTATGACCATGAACATTGATCACTTATCTTATAAGTATGTAACAGGGAAACGGGCAGGGGAATGCCGTTGAGTATAAAGCTTATCTGATACTCAAGCAATATAGAGCAATGAGGCTACTAAATAGAACATCTGCGTATATGAAGAATAACACACTGTCTTGAGCATGACTTTTCATTTCCTACTTGTTTACTTTTGGAAAGGTTCTATCTTCTCACCTCTGATTCAATTCATAGCTTCCTTCAAATTACAGCTCAGCTGATTTAAAAAGAAAAAGTGACTCCCTTTTTTTATGTGTCCTCTTCATCCTCATGAGTTTATATTTATTTTTAACAGAAGTATCTGTACAAATTATTTTTAATGAAATGGAAATTTCTTGAGAGCTGTATTTATTTTTTCTTTGTTTTTTATCTACTCTGTCTTTATCTTGCATGTATCTAAGTACTTAGATATTATCTCTGTATATTAAAATATGTGCTTCTGGTAGGGCAGCAAGGTGGCGCAGTGAATATGGCACCAGCCCTGGAGTCAGGAGGACCTGAGTTCAAATCTAGCCTCAGACCAAACACTTGACACTTACTATCTGTGTGACCCTGGGCAAGTCACTTAAACCCAATTGACTAAAATGTGTGTGTGTGTGTGTGTGTGTGTGTGTGTGTGTGTGTTCCTTGAAGACAAGGACTGTGTTTTGTCTTTCTTTAAATCCCCTTGCCCAATGCCTGGCCCATAGTAGATACTCCTCAAATGTTTGTTGAATGGAATAGAAATTAATTAAACTTAACTTAATTCATCATAATTTTGGGATGGGTTCCATACAGTCAGTGGAAAGGAAAACTCCAGGCAGAACCATACCAATCAAAATATATTGGTTAGAAAATTTCTTGTATTCTGACCTACTCTCCTCTTTCACCATGCTTTTGTCATATTTTTTTATTTTTAGCTACACCACTGTTAGTGTTGGTTATTCCCTTTCATATTCTTTCAATGTACCCCTGATGTCACTTTATTCCTGAATTGCTACTACAACATCTTCCCCCTCCATAATGGGCATTAATTAAATTTTTTGGATAAAAGAAAATGTTAACTTTGCAGCGTGCGTTGGGGTGAGGTAGGTGGCTGTGTGCTTTCCATTCTTGCCTTGTGCACAGAAGATCCTTCTTCATTAAATAAATTGCTTACAAAGCTGAAAGAACTCACATTATAACCACAAAGAGGATAGTCATTTGGCAGATGGCTTATAGGGTCTCCCACCTCTCATAAAGTGGAGAGTAGAAAAGCTGTTATCCTCTGAATTCTAATTAGACAAATATAAATTGCTTTCCATCCCCAAGTCCTCTGCCCAAAAGGCAATCCTACATTATCATTAGAAACAGAAAGCAGAAACATCAGCAGAATTCAGATGTTGAAGTTATCTAATGGCAAGTATGTGTATGTGTATGTGTGTGTATGTGAGATATATATATATATATATATATATATATATATATACACACACACATATATATAATACATATATATTATATATACAAATATAAAATATATACACATATATACACACATATGTGTGTATGTATACATTTGCACACACTCTTATGCATATATACATACACATGTATATCAGATCTGTTCCTGTAGGATTTTTCACTTTCCCCACTGTCAAGGAAAAAGATGAACATAACTATTTTCTCCAAGGGGGGGAAATTCAAGGCATTCATAGATGAGTAACACTTACATATATGCCCCAATTTATCTTATGGGGACATTTTAGACAAGCTTGCCACTTTATTATCTTTGAAATACTAATGAGATTTTTCCCTACACAGTAAAACAGACTTTGTTTATAAGAACACAGAAATGCCTCATTTATCAAGGTATTTGCTCCAGATGCTTATCTTTTTTCCTCTTCATTTCATTACTCACAGAGCATACCCTGCTTTAGTATTCAGATGGTTCCCCAACTGAATACCTTGAAGTAGAGGTCAAAAACCTTTGAGGAGTAACACAGAATTTTCATTTGCTTACTTCATTTAAAATTTCATATGCCAGAAATGCTGCAGCATCTAGTTGTTCCTAAATAGCTGAATTATTTCTGCCCAAAAGTAAGATTAAGAAGCTTCATTTAAAATTAAATGAAAAGGAGTAACTTGCCAATTTGAGTGATCAGGCCAAGTGATCTTCATCAATTTCACTCTTCTCCATCTCAAAATTTCTCTTTATATTCTCGTCTTTTCTTTCTTTCATTCCATCAGTCCTTGACAGAGTTAACTGTCCTATTTCCTATATTATCATGTAAGTTCTGTGAAGAGATAAAATGACTTATAATAGCAGGACCGAAGTAACATGGCTTTTTTTAAATTTTATTTGTTTATTCCAAGTATCTAGAACATTGTAGGTGCTTAAGATTTTTTGCTGCATTGAATTTAATTAGATGTTTGATTAAAATTCATTTCCCTCTTTTTGGTTCCTTGATCCATTAAATATCCTTTCTCCTTAAAAATATTTTATTTGTATATTTTGTCTTTATATAACCTCCATTGACCAATGTTTTCCTCTTCCTCCTCCTCTCCATTCATTTACATCTCACCCTTTATATCCCCTCCTTAACCAATCTTTATTGAAAATTATAAAGGGTGAGGGTGGGGAGCAACAGTTAATTAAAACAACACCATATTGAAAGATTCTGATCTTT